TCAGAAACTTTGATTTGCCAATTAAATGATTTCAACAGACAATATAATTCAAAATTAAGCTACGAAAATCATCAGTCTTGGGTTCTTGAGGATTTAGTTCCAGTTTATTGTGGTAACTATGCATGAGAGTTTGAGTACCCAATACAAATACTTCGTATCAATCGAGCTTGCTCATCCACGAAGAAGGATCACAAGAGCATCAAAAGCGTTCAAAGGGGAAGTTAATTAAGTGTCGCCCTCCACATGAGTCATTTACATTCCATAAATTGTGCGTGTTTTACTGCGTCACTGCGGCCTTGATCGTTAAGGTCGATTGTGCTTTGACGCCGGTCATCTTTCGGTGGCCACCTGGCGCGATGTCTATCAGTCCCTACGGATTTGCTCCGATTTCTAGGGTAATTCTTGTTTCAGTCATAGGTTCTATTTCTTAGCGACAAAAATTTGCATGCCTTACGTTCTCAGCCTTCTAAATTATTATAAATTGGTGTTGAAATACACGTTATGTCATGCTTCCGGTTCGATTTCAAATCCTTCAGTTTAGTGGACTCTAGACTCCGAAATTGTACTTGCATCTTAACTAAAGATGTTACAGTTATTAAGAAACCCATATATCCGCATTTAACAATGCACAAGCGAGGAATGTCTCTTAGAAAGCATTTGTACCCACGGTCCTGATGGCAATGCCCTAGGTGCAAAGGATCTACTGGACATAAGTCGTACCAAAGGGTCTAGGGATCTATTTCCCTAGACCCTTTGGTACGACCTAGGATCACTAGATTCTTTGCACTTAGAACATTGCCATCAGGAAGATACAGCACAGCGCAGTAACGCACCGATCATTTATCAACCATTTGAGGATATTTCAAGTTAGACGAAACAGGGCCACTAATGTGGACTGCAATTTGTTTGATTTATTAGGTGCCCTAGTGCTGCGCATCATCAGACTCCGTAAAACGACGTTTACTTTTATAGCCTTGAGAATTGGTTCAACCTATGCAATGAGCTTTTGCCTCCTGACAGTCTGTTCTTTGAGGCCTATGGATAACTAGTACATCTTGCAGTATAAACTTGTTTGGTGTTACTATCGTTATCATCACGTTTAATTCAAACCTACTTTAGAAGTGAATAACTTCACAACAGCGAAAGTCTGTGAACAGTATGGCTAATGGTCTACACTATCAAGTAATAACTTGATAGGATCAGCTGTGAACAGACGGCAGCCATTAATAGTGTATGGAGATTTTAAAAAGTACTCACACTTTTCGTCTTTGAAGACGCATTATCATGACTGCTGATTTGCTGCGGCCGCAATCGTGACTGATCTAGCATGAATACTCTTATGCAATGTACGCCCTTGAGAATTGGGTGTTGGATTTTGACCGACGTTTTAGACGCGGTAAGCCGGCCGTCAGTTTTCTCTTTGAATTCTACACTACATATAGCAATTGTGTACTTTACCGTGGCGCTCAGAATCTTCAATTTGTTCACGTTTTCAGGTGTGGGGTACATTTCTTGCAAGTAGCATGCCGATAAATGTAGTAACTGATTTAATCTTAAAGTATTTCGGTCAACTGTTTTTCGGCTTCTTTCCTAGATAATATGTCTCAGTAGTCTCGGTAACTCCATTTCCTTTAGAACGACTATTCCTTTCAAGATAATACCTCTCACTTTCAACGTTTGGCAGGCGTTGCCCAGCGCATTGTCTTACACTTAACCCTCACACGTTATTTCGGCCGTCACGTCCACTGTTTGCATGATGGGCGCAGGATGGCGACCTGCAAATAATTATTTTATAGAGATCGCAGGCTTGTGTGGCATTTTTCACGCTTCCCCTTTATTCACTCTTCCGAATTCAGTAGTAAGACAGACCCAGAATGAAGAGGGCGAGTTCTGGCGCAGTGGCCCATGCGTGCATGCACTACACTACCTGTAACGTTTGAGATCATCATTAAAAGCATGGTCACCATTTAATTTCATGTGTCCGTTCGCTGGAACCCTAGATTTTCGTCTTTCAGCCTTATAAACATTTCAACCTCTGCGTTAACCAGTCGCACGTATTTTATTGATTTTGTGTATTTTATGGATTGATATCCGGTCCAACCGACTGGTTCTCTGTAGCGCATACCACATAAAAGACTCACAGTAAGCTCAGAGTTCGATCAAATGATTTTGTTTTCTGACGATGACTTCTATCTACCTCAAGATGTCACTTGAACAGTTGCGCCGTGTGTCTTACGCTTTTTATAGTAGTCTTCTCATGGATCCTCTATCGTTGGGTGTGCCTGCTGCAATGTTAGTATCATTTCCATCAAGATGACACGTAGCACCGAGATCAGAGACCAACGCCATCACCACGGAAGATAAATTCAGTAGATTCGGCACCCAATATTTGTGAAGTTGTTTTCAATACAGCAAACGAGTTCTCTTTTAATCGGAGAAACTACAAATAATCGAGTGTTGTTAGTCCACTGAGTTGCTGGGACGTCAAATTACAATGTTTTAAGTTTAAGACTCTTTTGCTACGAAAATGTTGGAAGGATCCTATCTTAATTCTTTGAGAAATGTTGACTGCTCGCCAACGGAACCTATTCCCTCTATTAGTAACCTAGTGTATGTCCTGAGAAAGGAAAA